CATGCCTAAAGGACCCACACCTCACCGATGACGTCAGCATGACGTCATCCCCTCTCTCCCGCTCGCACCCCCCACGCTGGAGGTAGCCCGCTCCGATCAGCGACCAGAGCGGTAGGGACGAACGCACGAATTGGTGCGTGGTGGGCGGTGCCTAAGGGCACAGCGAACCCCCCACAAGGGTGGTGCCTTGGGCACAACTGACCCTTTCGATGATGCCTGGAACCGTTTCCCCCCACGATTTAAGCCCGTGACCGGCGCCGCTTTCGAGCGTAGGCCGAGAGGCCAGCTCGATATAGTTGCCGTGTGCACGATCTCCGTAGGTAGGATGATGGTAGGCGCGACGCCTGTTCAACCGACGTCGTCGTTGTTCTCTTCGGGGGCGACCTCCTCGAACTCCTCGAGGCAGAAGCTCTGCGCCGCATTCCATGCGTACCACATCTCGAACGAGGTCTCGTAGATGCGGTAGTGGCGTACGAAGTCGTCGAAGTAGTCGAACATGCACATGGCCGGACCGTCGCCAGTTACCCAACCCGCGTCGGCGTAGTCCCCCTCTTCGGTGACGACGTCCGACTCAGTCTCGCTGTAGTACGGGTCGAAGTCGGCCATGGACGCCTCGAGCGCAGGCGCCAGCCGCGGGGCGGTCACGTAGTCCAGCTTGGCTTGTGCATTGGACGCGTACGCGATCGACGCGTTGAGCTTGATCACCGGGATCCACTTCGTCAGGAAGTCCGCCGCGTTGTTGGCGTCCGAGACGTGGACGATGATGACGTCGCCTCGAGCTACGCGGGCTTGGCAGGTCGCAAAGCGTCGTTGGGCGTGACGGAGGCGACCCGCCGCTTTCGGGTCGTTGGAGACGCGCACGCTCGACTGGTTGTCGCCGCGGATCACGGTCGGCTCGTCGGGAAGGATGCCCATGCCGCGGGCGATCTCGCGCACGTTTTCGAGGATCTCGGCGCACTTGGACGTGGCGATGCCTTCGGCCTCTGCCGAGGAGTCGACCGGGCCCATCTTCTTGGTTTCGGCTACGATCACGCCGTTGTTCATCATGATGAGGATGCCGTAGATGTTGCGCTCCCCCCACGAGGCGTCAGCCATCGCATGGATGCCCTGCTCCCGCGGAAAGCCTTCGAGCGTCTTCACAGACTTGGCGACGTCGCACTTAGAGTATGTGATGCCCCGGAAGCGCGATTCGTATGCCATGATCATGGCCGCCTTGGCGACGATGACGGCCTCGGGCGGCGCACTCGCCTGAACGCACGAGAGCCGATGCGTGACGACGTTGAGCTCGCCCGCGGAAACTTTTTTGAAGTACTGAAGATTGCCCGTCAGCGTTTGCACCTCCTTCGTGATGTGCGTCACTTTGCCCGACGGGTTGAGCGGCAGCATCTGGAGCGAGTCCGCGAGCGACTTGAGCTTGCCCCCCTTGACGTGCTTGAGCTTGAACGCGTCGCGAGCCTTCGCCGTGATCAGCTCGGGGCACACTCCTGCGCGAACTTCTGGCCGATGAGCTCGGGCATCGAGATCGGCTCGCTTCGAGCCACGCGTCGCGATCTGGCGAGGCCATGACCTGCGAGTAGCCCTTCGGCTGATCCATGACCGCCTTGGTGCCAGCCTCGGTGACGTACTCGATCTGCGTCCCCGAGGCTTCGAGGTCGATGGAGTCGGCGGACGAAAACTGGATCGGCTCGTACGGCACGTCAGCGACGCGCTCCAGGATGGAATCGACCGTGTCGCCTTGCAGCAAGTCAGGCGCGAAGTCCCCCATCAGGTGCTCGACGATGATCTGGGCCATGCTCGGGGTCGCCTGCCCGCGCTCGAGCGCCTTCTCGGCGAGTTCAGCGACGCTGATGTCGCCGTTTTGGATCGAGTGGCGGGTCGTCCGCACTGGCGGCTTGGCGGGCTGGGCCGGCACGGCGGCTGCCTTGCCCGTTGGCTTGACCGCCTTGCCCGCCTTCCCGATCGTCGTCCATTGGTCGGTACTCGGCGCGGGGGCCGCGATTGGGGCCGGTAACGGCTCCGGAACCCCCGGTAAAAACACCGGAACTTTCGCGTTGCCTTTCTCGAGGCCCTGCGAAGGGGACGCGATCGCGTTGAGCCGCATCCACTGCTTTCCACCGTTGACGAGGTCGTGCACGTGCTCGTCGGGCCAGCCGTCGTACTTGATGACGTGGCGGAGCTGACCGTTGGCGAGCGCGGTGATGGACACGACGGTGCCCTCGTACCACTTGTCGAGCTCGGGCTGACCCTTGACCCCTTGCCAGAATACCTTGACGCGCGTTCCGACGGGGGCGTCGACCGATGCGACCGGCTCTTTGGGCGTCGGCACTCGCGTAGGGCTCTTGGGCGGAAGGAGCACGAGCGGCTCGACCGTAGAGAGCTCGATCTGGCAGGCCACGTCGTGCTGCGCTGCCCCGGCCGCCATGCCTGTGCGCGACAGCTCGAGCTCGTCGAGCGGCCAAATGAACGGCTCGAAGGTGAGCTTGCTTGTCGTCGTGTTGTACACCATGTAGCTCGAGTGCTCGATGCCCACGAAGACGCCGTCGGCTACGCGCTTGCCTGCTCCCTTCCAGTTGGTCCGCTCGTTCTCGTCGCGCAGCCGGACGACCTGACAGCCGAAGACGTAGGGGACCATGCCGTTCTTGTCGCCGAAGTCCGGCACACGGCCGCAATGCCGCTGCATGCGCGAGGGTTCGCCTTCCTTGTCCGGGCGCCGGTTGTGGAGGTAGAGCGCGTACTTGTGCGCCAGGGCTTGGTACCGCCGCGGGTCCGCGCCCAGGTTGCGCTTCGCCCGTTGGAGCATCGCCTCGGTTGCCCGCGCCGTGGTGTCCATGAGTTGCTCTGCGCGCGCGACGCACTCGTGCTCGCCTGAAGGGCCGATGAGGACTCGCACGTGTATCTCGCTTTCGACGCGCCGTTTGAGACGCTCGCAGTCGAACTCGGGCGCCCTGTCGAGCTTGACAGCCAGCATTTTGTGGTTGTACATCACCTCGGCTGCGTGCACGTGCGAGAAGAAGTCGACCCAGTCGTCCGTCGTGTGCGTGTCCGAGGTCTTCGCATACACGTATCCCGTCGCGTCGTCGATGGCGACCATGCAGCACGTCGGCGCCTTTGCTCCCGCGCGGGTCGGGATATGCGAGACCTGCTCGCGGCCCGGGAATGTGAAGGCGTCGCAGACGAAGCGGCTACCGGGCGTGAAGATGCGCTCCTTCGGATCGCGTTCGACGTTTGTGGGCTGGCGCTTGGCCACCTGCCCCCGGCGATGCCTATCGTGCTCGATGGTGTGGATGTCGGCGTTGGTCAGCGCCTTCACGGACTCCATGCCTTTGACGGCCTTCATGGTACTTTTGATACCGACGACGCCGGTCGCGAGCCTCGATGCCCAGACCTTCGGATCGATGCAGCTGAGCGCGCCCGCCGAGTTGGCCTCGGCCTCGTTGATCTCGCTTTCGCCTGCGGCTTCCTTGGGCCGGAGCAAGTCGCGCGGGATCAGGGTGTCGCTGCCCACTGTGACGAAGGCAAAGAACAGGTCGTTGTACTCGAGGACGAGCCACTCGACGCCCGACGGGAACGAGATGTCGTATGTCGGCGGGCCGTACTTGGTCGAGTGGTAGTTGATCGTCGCGCCGAGGGACTTGGCGAGGAGCTGGGGGGGCACGATGTTGCGCCGCGCTCCCGAGGCCTTGTGCCCGTGGAGCTGCAGCATCTCGTGCGCGCCACCCGCGCATAGCGGGTACATCGTGAGCGACGCTTCGCCCTCGAGGCTCAGCTTTGCCCCCTTGGCTACCGACGCGATCGCTCCGTTCGACGCCCAGCTTCGAGCGTGCGCCGCCTTGAGCAAACCCTTGGTGGCGATGAGCATCACGTTCGCGCCGTCGTCGAGGTGAATCGTCTCGCAGCCGGGCAGCATTGGCGTGTTGCTCGGGGCGTCGAGGTACATGACGTCGCGCAGCGCGAGGAGATCGGGGTGGCCTCTCACGATCGTGTGGATGCCTCGCTCCGTCGAGGAGATCTCCATCTCGCAAACGCTGCCCTCGAGGGCGAATCCCTTCTCGACCTCGAGCCTGATCGCGGCCTCATCGAGCTCGGTCGCCGAGGCTTCCGTCGCGCTCGCCTCGTACGGCACGTTCCACCACTTGGCGTACTCGCGCGCCGCCTTCTCGTACAGGGGCTTGGGAATCGGGCCGTTCGCCTGCAAGACGAGCTTGTGCTCCGGGAACTTGGGCATGTCGAACACGCAGCCCAGGCCCGTGATGGCCCTCGCACCCGGAGCGCCCGGGCAGAATCGGAATTTGCAGCGGACGCACGGCGGGCACGTGCACGCGCTCGTGAGCACGTTGGCTTTTCCGCAGACGGCACATGCCATCCCCGTCGCGCCCTTGCCCCCCAGGCCTTTGCCCGGGGCGCCCTTGCCGCCTTTTCCTTTTGCGGGCGCGCCGCCTTTCGCTACGCCCTTGCCTTTTCCTTTGCCCTTCGCCGCGCCGGCGTACGTGAGCGCCGTCGAGTTCACCTCTTTGGCCGCCTTCTTGGCCGCGCCTTGCACGTTCCTGAGCATGATGGCGATCTTGATGACGAGCTTATCGAAGGTGATGAGGGGCTCAGAGATCATTGTAGACTCCTCCATCTCCCACAGCAAGTCTCTCACGACCATCGATTGCGGCTCGAGCAGCATCGGCGGGAGTTCCCTGAGCATGGCCTTAAAAATCGCAAGATCATCTTGCGAACGACGCGATCCGAGCTCCGAGTATAGTCGCTCTTGAACAGCGCCGCGGCGAGCTTCGTCTGGTCGAGCGACATGCCCCCCGAGAAGTAGATCGTCGTCGCCATTTTCTGCTCGGCCATGTCGAGTTTGAGCGGGTTGGACTTGGTGACCGTCTTGTACACCTTGTCGAGCAGCCGAACGCCCGAGCGGCACAGCACCGCGTCCTGACGCGCCTCCTTGTGGAACAGCTTTCCCGCCTCCGTGTCCTCTTTGATCGAGGTGTTGATTTGACGGGCGAGCCAGCGATCGGCCTGCACGTTGATCGGCTCCGATGCGAACGCGATGACCGTCTCGTCGCGCGCCAGAACTCTCGCGATCATATCCGACGCTGATTCGCACAGGCCCGAGGACACAGCCGCCATGGCCATCGCCCACTCGAGCATTTCGTCCTTGCCCTTGTCTATCGGGCACTTGACGATCGCGTCCGAGTAGATGTCCTTGATCTGCCTCGGCTCGCGCGGTTGATCGAGACGATCTGCGATGGCTTGCATGCTGGCCAGATCGGAATTCTGCATGTGGTCTTGGATCTGCTGAGCCGCGAGGAGTTTTGCAGCTGCCACCTCTGCTTGTTTTTCTGCTTGTGCGAGAAGACTGCGCCTGACGCACGTCGAACGTCGACTGCATGTCTCTTCTCTTGAGCTCCTCCTCGAAACGGGCGGCTTGTAGCTCCATTTGGGCTCGCATCTTATTGAGCTGCAGCTCCTGCTGAAGCATGATTACGCGTACGTCATCCGCGGTCGATGCGATAGATGCGCTACGCGCTGACCGCTCGGCCGCGCCGTCCCGTTCCGACGCCGCTGCACCTGGAAGGACGTAGATGTCACTTCCGACCGCCATCGGACTGTACAGGTCCGGAGCGCGGTCATGGGAGTGCGCGAGCCCCGGCACGCTTGCCGAAGTTTCTTCGATGACCTCCGAATTTCTCGGCAGAGACTCGTAGTATCGGACTGCCATTAACATATGCAGCCCTGCAGAAAATCGCCGAAAAAGTGATCCCGCGCGATTGAAAGCGTACGCGATGCCTTCAGCTTCGCCGTACCTTTCTTCTGGAAGCACGTCCGCTGACGTCCCCCTTGCGCCTGCCTCTTCGGCGAGCTCTTCTGTGGGCGGTGCACTTGCCGGCACCCCCTTTGGTTCTGATTTGATTTTTGCTTCTTCAGGAGGATCGAGATCATCCACCGCTACCATGCGATCGGCCTCCTCGAGTAGAGGACGACCGGCCGGCACGAATCTGCCTAGGGGCGACCTTGGAGGCATCGGCTCCGCTGAGCCCCAGGCGTCGCGAGAAGAGGGTTTAGACTCAACAGGGTCACGACCAGTCTCAACTCACCCGTAAGGAATCCCCTCCGGACCCTCCGGTATCTCGTCTCATCTCCGACGGATGTAACAGGTCTAAGTATGGTTCCGATAGCATGCCTAAAGGACCCACACCTCACCGATGACGTCAGCATGACGTCATCCCCTCTCTCCCGCTCGCAGAGAGGTCTCGTCTTTACATGTGATTGTGGAGCTATCAGTATCACTAAAAAGCAGATGCGTAGAGACAGACTATACATTACTACGTGCTAACGTTCATGTTATCGTGTCCACCCCGAACCGATATCAAATGTGTCCATTGAGGTTGAGGAAGCTAGATGACGGATGCTGGACGACGTCATGTACGCGGTCTTGCTCGGCGGGCTGGGCCACGGCGTACTTGGCTCGGGGTCCGGATGAAACAGAAGCGATGGCGAGGTCCCCATCGTACCCGGACGTGACGGGAACGTCGAAGCCCCCTGTGTGCCCGGACGTGACAAGAACCGCGAGGTCCCCATTGTACCCGGACGTGACGGAAACACCGTACCCGGACGAGACGGGAACAACGAAGCCCCCTTTGTGCTCGGTCGTGACAGGAGCGGCGAGGCCGGCGTCGTGCGCGGCCTCGACCACGGCAAGGGCGGCGGCGTCGTTGACAGCCCCGCTCGCCCAGACACACGGCCCTGGTGCTCGACTTCAATCATGTCGTCGGGGCCGATGTAGGGCGTGTACACATCGCGGCGCCTGTCTTCATTCATGATGACCTCACCGAGTATCTCACTGCGACGGTGGTGATTAGTCCGTGGCCCTTCCACGTACGCCTTGAGCGCCTGTGGCGAGCTGATCGCGCGCCGGTACTGGTCGATCCTGGGATCCTGTGAGGCCACACACACAGAGCCAACATAGCCGTAACCGCAGGATAGGGCACCAGGCGGTAGCGATCGCGACGGACGCAGGACCGCCATGGTGAATCGCGGCAACAGGCAAGGGTTATAGCCATCGCCGCAAAGGTCTTTGCCCCCAGGCAGAGGCGATAGCATGGGCAGTCGAAGCAGAGGGACGGCCTGTCGCAATCGGTCAGCCAACTCGGGACTTGAAGCCAACGTGTGCCTATCACACTCGACGCACAGCATAGCCTCCCCTCTGCAGCCCACGCAATGCGGCCGATCGCGGGGTGGGCTTCGCTCGCCGGGTCGACGGGGCTGATGGCGTACGTGGAAGGGCCAAGGACCAAGCATCGCCTCGACACCGATGGAAGCACGTTGTGCGCGCTCTCCGCTTGTATCGTTGTTGCCGCCTTCCGCGCCGAGATCCCCCTGGAGCCGCCGTATTTCAGCGAGTTCCTCGTCAGTCAGCTCGCCCGCCGCCTGTCGCCGCATGAGGTCGGCGACGCGCTCGAGCCGCCGCAATTCAGCGAGTTCCTCGTCAGTGAGCTCGCCCGCCTCCTGCCGCCGCCTGAGCTCGGCGAGGCGCTCGGCCTCGCTGAGACCACTCACGTCTCGATCTGCCGCATGCCCAAGACCACGTCCGCCTTGACCTGCTGCTCCACTTACACCTTGACCTGCTGCTTCTTTATGGCCCCCGGCGCCTCCGTCCAATCCATCGAGTCCCCAGCCTGCGAGCTGACTGATGCCTCTCACCTCAGCCTGCTCTGCATCGCTCGCGACACGCAGCAGGGCTTCCTTGTCCCTCTTCAAATCGATCGGTGGAATGCCGCTTGCCTTGGCGATGGCGGGCGCGATTTCCATGAGGAGATCGTTCAAGAAGTTAGCGTAATCTTCGGCTTCGAGTGATTCGACGTAGAGATCAGCGACCTCGAAGATGCCGCCCACGAAAGCGTGCTGCGACATGAAGCCCATCCCACCCGCGTCTCTGAAGAACTCTTCGAGCGCGCTATCTTCGGCCTCCGCCTCGTCGTAATCGTCTTCGCCGACGAGTTTACGATAGATCTGTTTGTACGTGATCAAGTAATCGTCAAAGCTAAGATCGACGGCGTTGGGCCGCCCGTGAGGCCGGTGCTTGGCTACGGAAAGAGCTACTGCCCAAAACATGGTCAGCATTTCTGTCACCAAACGGTTCTTGCGAAGCGTTTGACGCTTCGTAAAGGCTTCGACGGAGTTGAGCGTCTCGTCGCCATCAATGCCCTGTGAGCGCATCAACTCCTCGAACTTGCGGCGCCCCACCTTGGTCCTCGCACGATCCATCCAGCCTTTGCCCTTTTTCGCGTCCATGAGATTGCCGTTAGTCTTCAGCCTGGCGAAGGCGAGGACTCGGTTGATCGACGCTGGCTGCTGGGGTGATGTACTGTGCTCGCGCAGCTTTTTGTCGAGTTCCTGGTAGGGCACAGCACCTGAACCGTCGTCGTCAAGCCACTTGAACACAGACGTGCACTCCTCCTCGGTCGCGTTCTCGAAGCCGATCGACCGCACACCGATGATGAAATCCTCGAGAGTGAGTATACCATCGTGGTCGTGGTCGATTCCACGGAAATGCTGGATCACCGTCATGCCGCCACTGAAGCGGAAGAAGTTGCGAAGCGTCTCACTTGTCAGGGCACCCAAGTTCTTCGGTGATTTGGCCCAAATGGGCGGCATAGATCGCGCCGGAAGCTAAAAGTACCAACGGCCGCAGTAAAACTAGCAACAATGCAGCGTTGGAAGTGGCTTGTGCGAGACTGTACCGGCTACGCCAATGAAGGCTGCCGCGGAACCCACACTCCCGCGGCGCGTGTGTGACGCGGCGGCGCGCGTATGTGGCGTGATCCCAATTTCTGAAACCACCGGTACCGGTTCAAAGAGTGTTCAAAGGCACCGGGGGGAGCCGGGACACACACGGGACACACACGGGACAGAAGGGCGAATCTACCGTACCACGGGCATTCGAGTTCGCAAAGGCTTCGATTCTCTCCCAGAGTACAAATAGTACCCCACAGCGCACAGGCCGGCGCTGCAAATCATGAATTAACACCGACCCTTCGCCCTTCTAAACTGCCGATGGGGCGCCGAACTTTTCCACGTACTTTCTTGCGCCGTTGGGCGGCCTGTGAGCGCGCCTGAGAGACGTCTCTTCTTCCCGGGTCGAAGACGCGGAAACAGTCAGGTTCACAGCACATCGATTTCTATGTCGCGCGTCGGCCGCGTTCGCGCGGCGCGCGCGCGCGCGCTCGACGGCTCATGTCCTACCCGCACGACCCTAAGGACTACCTGTCGCTGCTTCAACGGACACTCGTCCTAAAGCGAAGCGACGGCGTGCCTCCGCCCGTCATCGACACGGGCGGGCCAGCATCATCTGACGTCATCGAGGGCCGCTGTCCACAGGCCCTCAGCGCGAGCATGTCTATGCTTGCTCATCGGATTGGTGAGGGCACCGTGCGTCATCTGCTCAGCCAAACCATGCTATGGCCCCTGCCCAACAACTGCGTCTTCCAGTTCAGCGGACCGCCACCTCTACGTACTTCAGCAAAGAGCGCAAACCTGCCAGCGTGTCCGGTTCCAAGGGTGCGCGGTTTGCCGCCGCCGCCACCGCCCAAAGATGAAGACGAAAGTGGGCAC